AATCAATAAGTTCTTTGAAACTAATGAGAAAAAAAAGAGACATACCAGAAATAATGAACCCCAGGCAGAAATCAATAAGTTCTTTGAAACTAATGGGAAAAAAAAGACAACATACCAGAATCTCTGGGACACAGCTAAAGCAGTGTTAAGAGGGAAATTCATAGCACTAAATGCCTACATCAAAAAGCTTGAAAGATACCAAGTTAACAACCTAACATTTCAACTGAAAGAACTAGAGAACCAAGACCAAATACACTTGAAAGCTAGCAAAGGACAAGAAATAACCACTATCAGAGCTGAATTGAAAGAGACAGAGTTACAAAAAACACTTTGAAAATCAATGAATCCAGGAAGTGTTTTTTAAAACTTAATAGAATAGACTGCTAGCTGAACTAATAAAGAAGATAACAAAGAAGAATCAAATAAACACAACCAGAAGTGATAAGGGATATCACTACTGACCCCATAGAAATACAAAAAACCATCAGAGAATACTATAAACACCTCTATGCACATATTCTAGAAAATATAGAATAAGTAGATGAATTTTTGGACACATACACCCTTAAAAGACTGAACCAGGAAGAAGTTGAATTCCTTAATAGACTAATAATGAGTTCTGAAATTGAGGCAGTAATGAACAACCTAACAACCAAAAAAAGCCCAGGACCACACAGATTCAAAGCTGAATTCTATCAGAGTACAAAGAACAGATGATAGAATTTCTACCAAAATTATTCCAGAAAAAAAAAATAGAAAGACTCCTCCCTAATTCATTGTATGAGGCCAGCATCATCCTAATACCAAAACTTGGCAGAGATACAACAAATAAGAAAACTTCAGGCCAATATCCTTGATGAACACTGATTCAAAAACCCTCAACAAAATTCTGGCAAACCAAATCCAGCAGAACTTCAAAAAGCTTATCTACTGCAATCAAGTTGGTTCATCCCCAGGATGCAAGGTTGGTTCAACATACACAAATCAATAAATGTGATTCATCACATAAATTGAACTAAAGACAAAACCCACATGATTTTCTCAACAGATGCAGAAAAGGCCTTCAATAAAATTCAACACCCCTTCATGTTAAAAACTCTCAATAAACTAGTTATTGAAGGAACATACCTCATAATAGTAAGAGCCACATATGAAAAACCACATATGATATCATACTAAATGGGCAAAAGCTGGAAGCATTCCCCTTGAAAACCAGCACAAAACAAGAATGCTCTCTTGCACCACTCCCATTCAACATAGCACTGGAAATTCTGGCCATGGCAATCAGGCAAGAGAAAGAAATAAAGGGTACTTAAATAGGAAGAGAGGAAGTCATATTATCCTTGATTGCAGATGACATGATCCTATATCTAGAAAACCCCACTGTCTGAGCCCCAAAGCTTCTTAAGCTGATAAACAACATCAGCAAAGTCTCAGAGTATAAAATCCATACACAAAAATTGCTAGCATTCCTATACACCAACGACAGGCAAGCAGAGAGCCAAATCATGAATGAACTCTCATTCACAATTACTATAAAAAGAACAAAATATCTAGGAATACAGCTAACAAGGGAAGTGAAGAACTTCTTCAAGGAGAAATACAAACCACTGCTCAAAGATATCAGAAAGAACACAAATGGAAAAACATTCCATGTTCATTGATAGAAAGAATCAATATCATAAAAATGACCACACTTTCCAAAGTAATTTATAGATTCAATGCTCTTCCCATTAAACTGTTATGGACAATCTCCACTGGAAACTAAATAGATAAAAACACTAATAATTCATATGAAACCAAGAAAGAGCCCAAATAGCCAAGAAAATTATAAGCACAAAGAACAAGGCTGGAGGCATAAGGCTATCCCATGTCACAGAAATGAGACCACACACCTGTAACTGTCGGATCTTCGACAAACCTAACAAAAACAAGCAATGGGAAAAGAACTTTCTATTTAATAAATGGTGCTGGGAGAGCTGCCTAGCCATATGCATAACATTGAAACTGGACCCCTTCCTTATACCATATACAGAAATTAACTCAAGATGAATTAAAGGACTTAAATATAAAACCCAAAACTGTAAAATCCCAAGAAGAAAATCCAGGCAATGCCATTAAGGACATAGGCAGGAGCAAAGATTTCATAATGAAATCACAAAAAGCAATTGCAAAAAAGGCAAAAATTAACAACTGGGATCTAATTAAAGAACATCTACACAGCAAAATAAACTATCAGAGTGAACAGACAACCTACAGAATGAAGAAAATGTTTGCAATCTATCCATCTGACAAAGGTCTGATACCCAAAGTCTACAAGGAACTTAAGCTTACTAGAAATAAAAAACAACCCCATTAAAAATTGAGCAAAGGATATGAACAGACACTTCTCAAAAGAGGATATACATGTGTCCAACAAATATCTAAAAAAAAAAAAAAGCTCAACATCACTGATCATTAGAAAAATGCAAATCAAAATCAAAACCACAATGAGGCACCATCCCAGGCTAGTCAGATTGGCAATCATTAAAAAAGTTAAAAAAAAGAAAAAGAAAAAGAAAAACAGCAAATGCTGGCAAGGTTGCAGAGAAAAAAAGAATGGTTTTACACTGTTGGTGAGAGTATAAATTAGTTCAACCATTGTGAAAGAGAGTGTGGTAATTCCTCAAAGACCTTTCTTGTCCACATTGAAGCATTTTCATTACAAAAGTAATAGTTGCTTGTTGTGCAATAGCGAAATCACCTCAATTCCACCCTTGTTGTGTCATTCAACACATTTTAAAAAATATTTTTCAAATCAACACATAATAATTGCACATATTTAGAGGTACATTATGATGTTTTCACACATACAATGGATAGTGATCATTGGCAATTAGCATAGCCATCATCTCAAACATTTGTCATTTCTTTGTGTTAGGAACACCCAATAAACTCTCTTCTATTTGAAAAAATATAAATTGTTAGCTATAGTCATCTCACCGTGCTATAAACACAAGAACTTATTTCTCCTTTCTAGCTGAAATTTTGTGTCCTTTAAAAAATCCCTCACTACCCCTCCTTTCCCAGACTCCAGTAACCTCTGCCCTACCTTTTACATCTATGAGATCAACTATTTTTAGCCTCTGCATAAAGGTGACAACATCCAGTTTCTGTTCCTGGCTTATTTCAATGAATATAATGTTATCTAGTTCCTTCCATGTTGTCACCAATGACAGCATATTTTTATGGCTGAGTAGTATTCCATTGTGTGTACATATTACATTTTCTTCAGTCATCTGTTGTTGAATACTGGATTGATTTCATATGTTGACTATTGTGAATCGTGCTGCAATAAACATGGAGGTACAGATATCCTTTCAATACACTGCTTTGCTTTTCTCTTCTTTCCTTTTGATAAATACCCAGTAGGGAAATTGCTGGATCATATGTGAGTTCTGTTTGTAAGTTTTTGAGGAACCTCCATGTTGTTCTCCATAGCGGTCATACTACTGTACATTCCCACCAACAATGTATATGAGTTTCCCTTTTTTTTTAGCATCCTTCCCAGTATTGTTTTATTGTTGCTGTTGTTTTGCCTTTTTTATACCAACCATCCAACATGGGATATGATATGTCATCGTGGTTTTGATTTACATTTCCTTGATGATTAGTGATGTTGAGCATATTTTCATATACCTGTTTACCATTTATACGTACTCTTTTGAGAAATATCTGTTTGGATCATTTGCTCATTTTTAATCAGATTTTTTTTCTGAGTTGAGATGTTTGAGTTTCTTGTATACTACAGATATTAATCTGCTGTCTGATTAAGTTTGCAAATATTTTCTCCTGGCTGTCTTTTCACTTTGTTGATGAATTTCTTTGATATGCAGAAATTCTTAGTTTGATATAATCTCATTTGTTCATTTTTCCTTTGGTTACCATTAATTTTGAGGTCTTATTCATAATTTTTTTTTCTCAGACCAATGTCCTGAAACATTTCCACCATACTTTATTCTAGTAGTTGTATGGTTTCAGGGTCTTACATTTATGTCATTAATCCATTTTGAGTTGGTTTTTGCATGAGAAATAGGGGTGAGAAATGGGGCTCTACTTTCATTCAACTACTTATGGACATCCAGTTTCCCAGCACTGTTTACTGAAGAGACTGTACTTTCCCAATGACTGTTCTTGGTACCTTTGTCAAAAATCAGCTGACAATGGATATATAAATTAATTTCTGTGTTCTCTATTCTCTTGCATTGTTCTATGTCTATTTTTATGCCAGGACTAGGCTGTTTTGGTTATTATAGCTTTGTATACATTTTTAAGTCTGATAGTGTGATGCCTCCAGTTTTGTTCTTTTCTTCAGCATTGTTTTGACTATTTGGGGTCTTCTGTGGTTCTCTCTGAATTTTTGAATTTTTTCTATTTTTGTGAAGATTGTCACTTATCCTCAAAGATAAGAATTGTATTGCCTCTGTAGATTACTTTGTGCAGTATGCTCATTTTAACAATATTAATTATTCCAGTTCATGAACATGGGATGCCTTTCCATTTTTATGTGTGTCCTCTTTAATTTCTTTTATCAATGTTTTATAGTTCTCAGTATACATATTTTTTACCTCCTTGGTTAAATTTATTCTTAAGTATTTTTTGTTGCTATTTTAAATGGGAGTCCTTAGTTTTATTTTCAATTCCTTCATTCTTTGTGTATATAAATGCTACAGGTATTGTATTTTGATTTGTATTGTGCAACTTTACTGAATTTGTTTATTGGTTCTAATAGATTGTTTGTTTTCTTGGTAGAGCATTTGGGTTTTTTCAATGTACAATATTATGTTATCTGCAAACAAGGACAATTTGACTTCTTCCTTTCTAATTTGGATGTCCCTTATTTCTACTTTTGCCCAATTGCTCTAGCTAGTGCTTCCAATACTATGTTGAATACTAATGATGAGATTGGGCATCCTTATCTTGTTGTGGTTTTCTTTTCTTTTCTTTTTTTTTTTTTTAAGGAGAAAAGGCATACATATTTATTTGGCATGAATACACAAGAGGCTTCAGAATGAAGACCCAAAGATGCAGAAAAAAATGTCCACTTTTGTGCTTGGTTCAACAAGGTATAAACGGTAATGTGGAGCTATAACTGGACAAAAAAGGCTAGGATCAAATGCTAACAGTCTGAGTGGGGAAATCCAGCAAGGCCTGTCTGCTTAGATTCTTCTTGGCTTCTGTGAGCATGCATTCCTTCCTTCTGGGCAGGGGGAAGACATTTTCTCTGGAATGGGATAACCTACAAGCAAACAAGGTAGGTCAGATAATTTCGTTCTTTTTTCTTTTTTTAAATTAAACCCTTTATTGTTTATATATTGCATAGAAAACAGGTTGTTACATCAAAAGGTCACACAGACATGATCCTATTATAAAAGCTCAGCCCTTTCTGTGGCTGAAAGGAATGAGAATATCTTGGCTTTCAAAGTGGGCAAAGATTTGGTTTGGACTTCTCTCCAAAAGACAGCATGTCTCAGCAGTCCTGATGCCAGTAGCCACAGCCTGGGTCATTGCTTTTAGTGAGGCCCAGCAGGCGCAACACAAATTTCTTTTTGTTTGTTTTTTTTTTTAAAGAGACAAAGAAAGAGAAAAAGAAAGTGGGAGAGAGAACAGGAGTCTTGCTTATTGCCCGGGCTGGAATGCAATCTAAAAAGAGGTATTAAAAATCTCTTTTATGCCAATAATTGTGCTTAACAGCAGAGACAGGAAGGAATACGGGAAGAAAGTAACAAACAACAGCCAACCAATATTTTGATTAAGTCTGTGAAATGCTATGCAAATGCTGAAGAGTGATATACTTCCAATTATGTGGTCACTTTCAAAATAGGTGTAATGTGATACTGAGAAAAATGTATGTTCTGTGGACCTGGGGTGAAGAATTCTATAAATATTCACTGAGTTTACTTGTTCCAGGTCTGAGTTCAAATCATAGATGTCCCTGTTAATTTTCTATCTCATTTATCCATCAAATATTAACAATGTGGTGTCAAAGTCTCCCGCTATTATTGTGCAGGAGTCCAAGTCTCTTTATAAGTCATTAAGAACTTGTCTTATGTATCTGAGTGCTCCTATATTGGGTGCATATATATTTATGATCATTGACTGCTGTTGTTGCATTGATCTTTTTACCATTATGTAATGTCCTTCGTTTCTTTTAGTCTGTGTTACTATTAAAGTCTATTTTGTCAGAGACGAAAGTTACAATTCCTGTTGTTGTTGTTGTTGTTTTCTCTCCATTTGATTGGTGAGTCTTCCTCCAATCCTTTGTTTTGAGTCTTTGTGTGTCCTTGCTTATGAGATGGATCTGGATACAGTGTACCAATGGGTTTTGACTTTTTATTCAATTTGCCTGTCTGTGTCTTTGATTGGGGCATTTAATCCATTTAAATTTAGAATTAATAATGATATTTGTTAGTTTAATATTGTCATTTAATGCTAGCTGGCTATTTTGCCCATTAGTTGATATAGATTCTTCATTATAGAGATACTCTTTACCTTTTGGTAAGTTTTTGGGATGACTGATACTGATTGTTTCTTTCTGTGTGTAGTGCTTCTTTTAGAAGCTCTTGTAAAGCAGGACTGGTGGTGATTAAATCTCTGAGTGCTTGCTTGTTCGTGAAAAATTTTATTTTTCCTTCATTTATGAAGCTTAATTTGGCTGGATATGAGATTCTGGGTTGAAAGTTCTTTTCTTTGAGGATATTGAATATTGACTCTTACTCTCTTCTAGTTTGTAGGGTTTCTGCTGAGAAATCTGCTGTAAGTCTGATAGGCTTCCCTTTATGGGTAACGTGACCTTTCTCTCTAGCTGCCCTTAGAATGTTCTCCTTTATTTCAACCCTGGTGAATCTAGGGATTATGTGTCTTGGGGTTGCTCTACTTAAGAAATATCTTTGTGGTGTTCTCTGTATTACCTGGAGTTGAGTATTGTCCTGCCTTACTAGGTTAGGAAAGTTTTCCTAAATAATATCCTGAAGAATATTTTCCAGCTTGGATTCATTCTCTTCATGATGTTCAGGTACATCTATCAAACATAAATTAGGTCTTTTCACATAGTCCCATATTTCTTGGAGACTTTGCTCATTCCTTTTTACTTTTTCTTCTCTAGTCTTCTCTTCTTGTTTCATTTCACTAAGTTGGTCTTGGACCTCTGATATCCTTTCTTCTGCTTGATCAATTCGACTGTTAAAACCTGTGCATACTTCATGGAGTTCCTGTGTTGTATTCTTCAGTTCCATTAACTCACTTATATTCCTCTCTAAATTGTCTATTCTCATTAGGATTTCATCAAACCTTTTTTTAAGGTTCTTAGTTTCTTTACATTGGGCTAGAACATGTTCTTTTAACTCACAGAAGTTTCTTATTATCCACTTTCTGAAGCCTAATTCTGTTAATGGAATGCACTCGTTCTCCATCAGGCCTTGTTCCCCTGTTGATGAGGAACTGTGATCCCCTATAGAGGGAGAGGCATTCTGATTTTGGGTATTCTCAGCCTTTTTACGCTGGTTTCTTCCCATCATTGTAAATTTATCCACCTGTCGTCTTTGTAATTACCAACCTTTGAATTAGGTCTCTGAGTGGACATCCAACTTGTTGATTCCCAGCACCGGAATCTGAACAACCCAGTGCACCAGCTAAAACAGTGGCATTAAGATTCATAGTGCTTTTCTGCCTGGGAATCTCTGGTCTGGCTTCCCTCTTGAGTCCCTTTTTCAATCAGCTGAATGGGCGACTCTGCCTTCCCAGAGCTCCAAATGTCAACCAAAAGGGGACCCAGTCCCATTTATCCTGCACCGAGAACTGCCGTGCCAAGGCGCCAGCAAAACTGCCTCGCCGGCGCAAGAGTCGTGCTGGCGACCCATAGGGCTCCTCCACTGGGAATCTCCTGTTCCGTGAGCAACAAAAATCCATCTGACAGTGTGGTGTCCTCTCGTTCTCTGCACTTTCACTGGGAGCTACAATCCTGAGCTGCTAGTAATTGGCCATCTTGGATTTCTCCCCAGTCTTGTGGTTTTTCAAGGAAAAGCTTTCAGCTTTTCCCCCAATCAGTTTATCAGCTGCAGCTTTTTCCTAAACGGCTTATTGTGTTTAAAACATTTTCATTGAGGACCTATGTGTGCAGAGCTTTGTTTTAGACATCTCATAGGAAAGAGACAGAAATCATTTGCCCTTTCATTCTATGGGAAATACAGATAATAGACGGTTCAGTAAAATAATGACAGACAGCAATGAGTGCTGAGACACTAAAGGAAGTAACTGCTTAAATAGGGTGATCTAGGAAGGCCTCTTGTCATAGACAAGACTTAGGATGGTGAGACTGGCTGTGTGAAGCACAAGGGAGGAACGTTCAGGGTGGGAGGAAGAACAAGCACAAAGGCTCTGGGGTGGGAAAGATCATAGTGTATTTTAGGAGCTGCCCTATGGTGAGACAGTCACCTGAGAAGAGGTTGGCGAGATCACATGAATGGTGACATGTGCTCCATATCAGGGTATGATAAGAATGAAGAAGGATAATAGCTAAAATCACTTTGCTCCATGCCAAGCACCTACAAAGTATTATACTAAGGAAATGATAGTCAAATGTTAGCAAAACTGAAGTTAGAAATTTGAAATGATGATCCTGACACTGACACATTCTTTGTAACCTTGGGAAAGTTACTTTACATCTCTGGGGCTTAGTTCACCTGTCTATAATATAAGGTTAATAATAATGACACCCAGTAAGTTAAGGAGTAGCTGTGATTGTGCTTAGCCACAGTTAAGCACTCAGAAAATACAGAAGAGACATTTTGAGGCTTAACAGCATTCTGGCACTGTGCAAGGCACTGAGGTAAGAAAACCTCCCTTTCTCAGAATCACCTCTGCCTCTCATTCCAGGTAGGAAGTGATGATACAGAAGGTCCTCAGCTAAAACTAAATATGATATTTTTGTGCCGTCCATCAGACTGGAAAAGCAAGAAAATATTTAAGTTTTAAAGGTTTGTGCCTGGAAGACACAGTCTTTGTAGAGGACTAAAAGTAAACAAGAAATGTAAAGTTACATCAGGATCACATGCGCCTTTATCAAAACCCAGAAATTAAGCCCCTGGACTGATCTACCCACAGGAATAACTGCTTCAAGATGCTGCCAAAGGGATCAATTTTTCCCTCCTCTGCCTTGGTTTTGCCTAAACATCAAATCAGGAAACATCCAGCAGCAAAAAATATCAATTTCATTTCCACAATGTTGCATTCAAAACTGAACTGAGTCTCTTCAAGATGGTGACATAACCATTTCAAAGTTTTGCTCTTTCCAGCTGTCACTCATTGATTCAGTCAGTAGGTATTTCCTGGCCAATATCAACAGACACGGTCACCTGCTTCATGCCATGGGAAGCAAAGGGCATAACAGCTGAGTTACCACCTTTCAGGAGTTTTGGTGGAGGTATGTGAATAGTAAGTAAATGGGATAGGCCAGGCATGGTGCCTCCTGCCTGTAATCCCAGTACTTTAGGAGGCCGAGGCAGGAGGATCACCTGAGGTCAGAAGTTTGAGACCAGCCTGGCCAACATGGTAAAACCCTGTCACAACTAAAAATACAAAAATTAGCCGGGCATGGTGGCAGGCTGAGGCAGGAGAATCACTTGAACCTGGGAGGTACACGTTTCAGTGAGCTGAGATCATGCCACTGCATTCCAGCCTGGGCAACAGAGCAAGACTCTGTCTCAAAATAAATCAGTAAAATTTTCTAAATAAACAAATAAATAAATGGGATAATATATACTTATTATTAAGTCTCGACCATCATAAGCACACCTTTCTGAGAATTATGCTCAGTCTACAAACAGCTCTATATTCTGCTTTTATCAGTTTCCATATGCTTTACTCATATCATTAAACATTCTCCATAAACATCGCTTTCAATGCTGATGCTACACCTAGCCATGTTTGCCATTCACTTTCTCACAGGAGCTGCACCAGATACTGAGCCTCACATTTCTGCAAATATGTATGTGTAGCTAATATCTGACACATCTTCCTGCTATTTAGAAACACTGAATAAAACACAGCAAACATTTAACGCCCCCTGGAAAGTTTAGGGGCAGCCATCTGGAGTGGAGGCTCAACTTAATCACCACCTTGTTTACATGAATCGGTGACAGCAAAGTCTCTGGAGCATGACGGCCTGGGTTACGATCCTGGCTGCACCTCTTAACAACTGGGGGATCCTGGAAAGGAAACTACGTTGTTTGCACCTTAGCTTTCTCACCTATAGTATAAAGGTTTTTTAAAATCCCTTTTGTAGAGTTTTTGTTAAGAAAGCATGTAAAGTTTTTGCTTCATGGCCAGAACATAATAAGTGCTCACTAGATGTTGGCCATTACCACACTGTGAGCTCAACTTTAAAGAAATTAAGAATTCAGGGAGGGGGGAAAACAATCACAACGAGAATTCAAAGCCAAAATTTCTGACTTCAGAGCTACTGTTGCTCATGCTATGGAAGAAAAACAGATGCTGAGTCAAGTAGGGAAAGAGTCAGAGTCCAACGGTCGCCAGTTAGGGAGGCAGTGATGGGTGATGGAAAGTAGCCACAGAACTGGGGGAGGTTAGATGGAAAGGAGTGTGAGTGGTTACATGTCCCTACTCTTTGGTTTGGATAGGAGCCCAGAATTTGAGGCAGAAAGAAAAGAACTCTGAACTCTCTGGGTTCTGTAATGATTCACCTGTCGAGTAAGGCAAACAAGGAAGGTATTGGGCATAAGAGTTTAGATGGATTAGAGAGCAGGAGGAAATGGGGACCCTTGGAGAGCTGACTTCCAAAAAATTCTTTCTGAAATCTATTTTGATTTACGTTCTGAACTGATGACCTTATGACTTTGTAAAGATAATTATGAAAAAGGTGAGAGGAGTGGTAATTTGAAGATGAGTCTGTCCCACTTCTTCTCTTTCATGTATGATCTCCATGAACCTGCCAGTGCTTTTTTTTTCTAGTATTTACCAACTGATAAATTCCTATTTATCCTAAAAGACCTCTTTACTTATTTTCTCTTTCTCTGAATGACCCAAGCCCACATTTATTCCTTCAGTGCACCCTCTATAATGTTTTAACACAATAATTAATTTTTCTGCCTTTAGGTACCACACCATGAGGTTAAAAAAAGTCTTTGTTTTTCAATAAATAAATGAGTGAATAAGTAAATAATTCTATGAGATACTCAGAGAAATGTTTATTATCCCATCCATTTTAGGTTTCTAGGGCTATTGTGAAAAAAATAGCAGAAAGTTGTTGGATTAAAACAGTAGAAACATATTCTCTCATAGTTCTAGAGGCCAGAGTCTGAAATCGGATTTACAGGGCCGAAATGAAAGTAGTAGTAGAACTACGCTCTCCCTGGAATCTCTAGGGCCAATGTATTCCCTTCCACTTCTGGTCCTGGTGATTGCTGGCATTCCTTGCTTTGTGGCAACATCGCTCTATTCTTCAAAGTCAGCATCTTCAAATCTCTCTCTGCTCTGTCTCCACATGGCCTTTACCCATGTATGTGTCAAATCCTCCTCTTTTCCCTCTTATGAGGAGAAATCAACTATTTCATTCAGGGCTCACCTTGATAATCCAGGTTAATCTCCCAGTCTCACAATCTTTAATATAATCACATCCTCAAAGACAATTTTCCTAATAAGATAACATTTACAAGTTTCAGGAATTAGCACCTGATATCTTTGGGAATCACCACTCAGCTTTCCACAGTCTGCCCTCTGTTTCCCAAAGACTCACATCCAATCACATGTAAAATATAGTCGCCTCTTCCCAACAACCCAAAAGCCTCACTTCTTTATAGCATCAACTCCAAAATGGCATCTAAATATCCAAGCTCAAAAGTATTATTGTATTTCCTAAGTAATCTAACTTAGGTATCTTTGAGGCGTGGGGCATAAGCCATCCTTGAATAAAATTTCTCTAAAATTCTGGAGCTGTGAAAGTAATATTCAATATAGGTAAAAGGATTGCTTTCTTCCAGTTTCAAATAACATGTTCCTCATTTCCTTATGAGTACTCAGCAGAAGAACCTTTAATGTTACTTTTCCTACTAACATTCTGTTATGATAAGTAAATATTCTCCAAACCAATAGAAGCCTTTTCAACCATGCTTCTCAGTTTCCTTGCAGCCCTCATGAGAAGGATTTTAATGTCTATATATCTGCCAATAGTGAATTTAAGGCAGTCTGTGCTTTTCTTATCAATGCACTTGAAAAATCTTCCAACCTCTACCTATTATTCAATTCCAAACCCAATTCGATATTTGTGGGTACTTATTACAGCACACCTCACCTCTACTACCATAACTCTTGGTCTCCTGTAACAAATTACCACAAACGTGGTGATTTAAAATGAGAGCCAGGCACAATAGTGTGAGTCTGTAGTTCCAGCTACACTGACAGCTGAAGCAGGAGGACTGTTTGAGTCCAGGAATTTGAGACCAGCTCAGCAACTTAAAGAATACCCTGTCTATGAGAGAGAGAGAGAGAGAAAGAGAGAGAGAGAGAAAATATAAAAATAGAAATTCATTATCTCACTGTTCTGGAGGGCTGAAGTCCAAAATCAACATCCTGGCTGAAACCAAAGTGTCAGCAGGGCTGTGCTCCCTCCAGAGCTCTAGGGGAGAATCTATTGCCTGCCTTCCCCAGCCGCTGCTGGCTGCCAGCATTCCTAGGCTTATAGCTAAATCCCTCCCATCTTCAAGGCCAGCATCTTCAAATCTTTTTCTGTCTCATCTTTGCATGGCCTTCCCTGTGTGTGTCATATCTCCTACATTTAGAGCTCACCTTGATAATTCAGGATAATCTCCCCATCTTAGTCCTTAATTTCATCACATCACTTCCCGAATAAGATATCCTTTAGAGGTTCTAGATACTTAAACTTGATATCTTTGGAGGTCATCATCCAGCATACTATAATCTTCCTACTGACCCTCAAAGATGGCCACTCCCCATCAAAATGCATTTACCTCATCCCAACATTCCTAAAGCCTCAATTCATTACAGTATCAGCTCAAGTGCAATCTCTTCTATATGTCATAAGCTTAAAACTCTTTTTCATGTTAGTAATGGAATAGTCGATGATATAATGGAGATTGACACATGTCACACATTACACACATAGGGGTAAGGTTAGTGGTAACAATTTCATTCACAAGAAATGTATGAGTTGGCCATAATGAAATGGTGTGTATTATGCCCACACTCATAGAAATTAAACTTTTAGCAGTAAAGCCTTAATAAGAAAAATAAATAGTGTGATTTCTGGAATATAAAGATTATTAAACGATCCTGAAAATAAAGTTGTTTCAGAAGTATTCTTATTCGGCTAAGAATAGGCAAATGGTCCTGCTGCATATTTAACATTAAAGCCTGACACAAATTATGTTTCTTCCTCAGTTAAGTCGACTAGAGCACTGAAGTAGTTTCTTCTAAGCTGAAATAAATCTCCTTATGATAAATGGCGATGATGTAAAAAATACTCATAAGTATGATTCGGTAATCATAAGCATAGATAGGGTAAAGGACAAACTCATTAATATCATGATAGGAAAGTGATTGCTAAACGTACTTCACATGAAGTTGTGCTGTTGCTCCTCATGCCCTAATTGAAGAAAATACATTTTGAATTTGAAGCTCATTCACCTCTTAGCATGAAATAAATGGCTCGGCTTGATACTGATCAAATAAATACTGTCCCTCGGTTTATATTAATTAATGGATATGCCATAGGGAAAAGAATTATATTATTAATGTCAAGGTAAGAGACTGATTGATGCAATGATAAGTAATAATATAGAGGAAGCTGATGGTTATAATAACGAGTCTTGAGTAAACCATTTGAAAGCTCTGGCAATTGGCTGTAGCAGTCTATAGAGAGCAATAACACTAGGTCCTTTTCAAAACTGCATATGTCTTAAAACCTTTTGGGCAATTCATGTTAAGTTCGACACAAATCCAGACCTTAGCAAGTCCTGTTAGGGTTAACTTAATGCTTATTATTTAGTTTAAGACCAGGTCATCTATTTAACATATGGTGACACTGAAAAGTTTGGCCCTTTTTCTGTTGCCTTTTCTTTAGAATAGAGGCTGGTCAGGAATGGAATTCCTGTTGCTGAGTCTTTCTATAGTTAGAATATGATAAAAGACAGAGGGTTAAATAGTTCTGTTTTCAAAGATACTGCTCATCACCTAAAGTGTGAATAATGAATCCAGAGGACAACAATAATAAAGCTTTAAAGAATGCTCATATAGCCCAAATCGCCAAAGCCACCCTAAACAAAGAAAACAAAATGGAGGTATCATATTGCCCAACTTCAAACTATACTAAACCGTTACCAAGCAGCATGGTACTGGTACAAAAGCAGATGCATAGACCAAGGGAACAAAATACAGAACTCAAAAATAAAGCCATGCACCTACAGCCATCTGATCCTCAATAAAGTCGACAAAAATAAGCAATGGGGAAAGGGGTTTTACAATCTTGGCAAGGCTGGTCTTGAACTCTTGACCTTGTGATCCACCCTCCTCGGCCTCCCAAAGTTTTGGGATTACAGGTGTGAGCCACCTCACCCAGCCAGCAATCATTTTTAAATATTAATTTTTGTTCAGTAGAGTGTACTAAGCAAGGTCGTCAGGGCTCCTAAACAGAGTACAAAGTTCTGATTGTATAATTATTTTCTTCGTAGGATGAAAGAGAATTTATAAACATGCTTCTGCTGTGGCTATAGTACTAGACTGAAGTAGGACTAAAATTGCTGTAGGACCTTCTCTGGTAGAGAAGGTAGACCTATCAAAGGGAAAAAAAATCAAAACTAACATTATGTATAAATTTGTTTAATTGTCATGTATATGAATTGAGAAAAAAAATCATGCCATGGATATGAGACCAGTCTCCCCAGTGGAATAAAATAAAGTACTTCAAGGACTACCATGTTAGCATCTGTTTGTCCATATCATCATTCAGTTAATAGAAACACATAATTCCCACTCCTCACCCAATATACAGATGAAAGAGGTTTTTATGGTAAATAAAATTAGATTTGCAATAAGACAAGAGTAATTATTCAGGACTTGGTTACATTAAGTTTAAATGTATATAACATGTTGAGAATTTCCTTTGAACATGCAATAAAAAAATGCTACTGAAAAAAAATGCTACTGAATGAACATTATTGCAATGTAGTAAAGTAGAATGCAAATTCCTTGAGGTCAACATTCAAGTCTGTTTTCCTTGCAGTGGCACCCACACACCTAGCATACTGCCTTGCACACAGTAAATGCTCATCAAATGTTTGTGAGGTATGTGGACAGGGGAATGTGGTAGTGGCAGGGCCACTGCCACTGACAGCTGCTGAAGCTTTTCTCCCACTGTTCCCTCAGGTGGATCATCCAATGTCAACTGACTCTGAACTCTGAAGTCCAAGCTCTGCCCTCCCCCTTCACTCTCCCCACAAGTGGGCGGGACAATCCTCCCAGATTTGAGCACTGTTGGACAGGGGTGGTCAGGGACAGGTAGGGCTCCTCAGAGATCCAGAAGGTGCTGCACCATGAGTGTCTCTGTGCTGAGCCCTAGCAGACTCCTGGGTGATGTCTCCAGGATCCTCCAATTGACCTCCCTGCTAATACTGCTTCTGCTGCTGATCAAGGTAGCCCAGTTCTACCTGCACAGGCAGTGGCTGCTCAAAGTCCTCCAGGAGTTCCCGTGCCCTCCCTCCCACTGGCTCTTTGGACACAACAAGGAGGTAGGGAGGAACTCAGTGGGAGAGTGGGAGGGCAACGAGGGATGGGGCTCTGAGACCCTATCACAAAGCCCATATAGAAAAGCCTTGTTTTGTAACAAACATGTGCCCTTGAAGGAACACCCAGCCTACCTCTTTGGTCTCGGCTTGTTCCAGTCATGAGGAGCTCACTCCTCCCATGAATCCCAACTTGCTGGTCCTCAGCTCTATCACCCATTCCCTCCTGCAGATACCAAGTGTGTCTTCGCAGCCCTATATGTGGAAGACAATGCCTGATTCTCTCCAGGCTGATTACCGCATAAACCTCGGCTTTTCTCAAAGAGCAAAGCTTCTAGAGGCTGCCTGCCCTAGAAGGCATCAATGCCATCCTCTCTGGCTCTGAGCTTGCCTGGGAGCACAGATACCCATATCTGAGGAATCCATGCGGTGAGGAGTTCACAGTCTGTGACAAATGCAGGCAGGAATTTGAGAAGGTGTCAGATTGCAGAAAAACAGCTCACTCTGCTAGCGTGGATGGCTGAGGCTGAGGTCTGCTGGTATAGGGGACCAATTAGCTAAGTTTCCCCAAGACTCAGAGAATTTCCACAACAAGTGATTTAGGACCAGGAAACCTGATAATTGTGGGCACACGCAAGGCGGGCAGCCTGCACAAAGTCCTCCAGGTGAGGGGACTGGTGTCTAAGTTGCACGTTGAAAAGTATGTGTTGACCTCCTGGTTATCCTCCCGTACACCTGGACTGTGAGCTCCTTGGCGGTGAGCATCTAATCCCCTCCCTGTGTTCCAGCACCCAGCAAAATCCTGGCACACCTTGTTGGTCAGCCCAGGTGTGTAGAGCAAGCTTATCCAACCCACGGCTTGTGGGGCTGCATGTAGCTCAGGATAGCTTTGAATTGACCCAATACAAATTCATAAACTTTTTAATAACATTATGAGATTATTTTGCAATTTTTTAAGCTCATCAGCTCGTTAGGGTTAGTGTCCCAAGACAATTCTTTTTCCTCCAATGTGGCCTAGAAAAGCCAAAATATTGAACACCGCAGGTGTAGTGGGACAGAGAAAGAAGAGAAAGGAACAGCAAGAGGGCTGAGGAGGGCCACAGACCATCCCCTCAGCACTGCTATCCCTGGATGAGGAATGGAACAAGTAGGAACAGTGCAAGCTAAGGGACTGCATGGAGAAGGGCTCCCCAAGGTGCTATGAATTGAACACACTTAAGTGGAGATAGGGGTTTTAGGGAGCTGAGGCCTGTTGTTTCTCAGCAAAGAGGCAACATAGTTCTCAGCAGAGCAGAACCAACGTGGGGACCTGAAAATGTTCAAGTCCTAGATGGACTGGTCCTGATACCACTCTGCCTTCCTTCCCACTCTCCTCCTTTACCGTATGTTACTCACTACCTCACTACCTGCCTATGCATTCCAACCTCTAGGCCTCTGATCACGCTGTGCTTGCTACCTGAAATTACCTTCTTACTCATATCTATCTGTCAAGGTCCAGCACCAAGCTGCCCCCTCCAAGAAGGCCTCCCGGGTCTCCCAGTAATGAAGGGCCAACTCTTTGCTCTACGGGCTATCCATCTCAAGAGGACAGAGTAGTGTTAACTTGATTCAGTTATTTTTCTGCAGTGTCATAAATGTGGGCTTCTTCTGGGAGAGACTATCTGATTTACCTTTGTAACCGGATAGTCCCTCAGTAAATGATGACGCAATGAATCAGAGAGAAATGGCTTTCTAATGTTCAGTTCTGAGTGAGGCCCCTCTTCAAAGCTTGCCCAGATGCTTGTCCTTTCTTCAATCTCAATATTGATTATTCCCTACTGCACAACCTCTCATCTTCTTTACCCCACAACTAGCCTGCAAATTCCACACAGGTAAGGAACACAGCTGTGTCCTAACACAGTGCCTGAACCACACTTGGCACATGGTGTGTGTGCAGTAAGTGCTGAATGAAGGAACCTGCCCCACTGTAGGGCAAGCTGCCTCAGAGCTGGAGAATGTGGATGTCAGAAGGAGGTGGGCAGAGATTAGAGACTTACGTGGTAGACAGTTGCTTTGAGTTACTAGAAGCAGTTGAAATGAAGAGTTGGCTACATGGACCATCACTAGGACCCAATGTCTGTGAGGGTTCCAGATGAGATTAAAGGAAAGCTGAGTCCTGAAAGCTGAGGAGAGGTGGGTGCACTGTGGCAGAGTGGAGGGGCATTCCAGGTAGAGAAAAGAGCACGTGCCAGGGCCCAGAATTTTCTAGTTAATTTTTTCACTTAGCCATATACATCCCAAATGCTATTTTATTTTTTTATTATTATACTTTAAGTTTGGGGTACATATGCAGAACGTGGAAGTTTGTTACATAGGTATACACATGTCATGGTGGTAGTTTGCTGCATCCATCCCCCCATCATCTACATTAGGTATTTCTCCTGTTATCCCTCCACAATCTCCCCACCCCCTTCTATCCCTCCCCTAGCCCCCCAACCCCCTGACAAGCCCCAGTGTGTGATGCTCCCCTTCCTGTGTCCACGTGTTCTCATGGTTCAGCACCCACTTATGAGTGAGAAAGTGTGGTGTTTGGTTTTCTGTTCTTGTGTCAGTTTGCTGAAAATGATGGTTTCCAGATTCATCCATGTCCCTACAAAGGACACAGACTCATGCTTTTTTGTGGCTACATCATATTCCATAGTGTATATGTGCCACATTTCCTTATCCAGTCGATCTTTGATGCGCAATTGGATTGGTTCCAAGCCTTTGCTATTGTAAACAGTGCCGCAATAAACATACGTGTGCATGTGTCTTTATAACAGAATATTTTTAAATCCTTTTGGGTATATACCCAGTAATGGGATTGCTGGGTCAAATGGTATTTCTATTTCTAGATCCTTGAGGAATCACCACATTTTCTTCCACATGGTTGAACTAATTTACATTCCCACAAACAGTGTAAAAGTGTTCCTATTTCTCCACATCCTCTCTACCATCTGTTGAGTCCTGATTTTTTAATGATTGCCATTCTAACAGGCATGAGATGGAATCTCAATGTAGTTTTGATTTGCATTTTTCTAATGACAAGTGATGATGAGCTTTTTTTCATATGTGTGTTGGCTGCATAAATGTCTTCTTTGGAAGAGTGTCTGTTCATATCCTTCACCAACTTTTTGATAAGGTTGTTTGTTTTTTTTCTTCCAAATTTGTTTAAGTTCTTTGTAGGCTCTGGTTATTAGCCCTTTGTCAGACGGGTAGATTGCAAAAATTTTTTCCCATTCTGTTGGTTGCCAGTTCACTCTGCTGATAGTTTCTTTAGCTATGCAATAGCTCTTAAGTCTAATTAGGTCCCATTTGTCTATTTTGGTTTTTGTTGCCATTGCTTTTGGTATTTTAGTGATGAAGTCCTTGTCTATGCCTATGTCCTGAATGGTATTGCCTAGGTTTTCTTTTAGGATTTTTATGGTGTTAGGTCTTATGTTTAAATCTTTAAAATCTGGAGTTAATTTTTGTATAAGGTATAAGGAAGGGGTTCAGTTTCAGCTTTCTGCATATGGCTAGCCAGTTTTCCCAATACCATTTATTAAACAGGGAATCACTTCCCCATTGCTTGTTTTTGTCAGGTTTGTCAAAGATCAGATAGTTGTAGATGTGTGGCATTACTTTCAAGGCTTCTGTTCCATTCCATTAGTCTATAACTCTGTTTTGGTACCAGTACCATGCTGTTTTGACTACTATAGGCCTGTAGTATAGTTTGAAGTCAGGTACCTGATGCCTCCAGCTTTCCCACCCCCCCCCCCCGCAGGATTGCCTTGGCTATTGGGCTCTTTTTTGATTCCATATGATGTTTAAAGTGGCACTTACTTTATTCATAAGCGAGTATACAAGTACTTTTTAAAAATTGCATTTTAGGTTTGGGGGTACATGTGAAGAACATGCAAGACTGTTGCATAGGTACACACATGGCAGTGTGATTTGCTGCCTTACTCCCATCACCTATATCTGGCATTTCTCCCCATGCTATCTCTCCCCAACTCCCCACTCCCCACTGTCCCTCCCCTATTCCTAATATCCATGATGAACATTGATGCAAAAATCTTCAACAAAATACTGGCAAACCAAATGCAGTAGCACATCAAAAAGCGTATCCATCATGATCAAGTTGGCTTCATTCCAGGGATGCAAGGCTGCTTCAACATATGCAAATCTATAAACATAATCCATCACATCAACAGAACCAAAGACGAAAACCACATGATTATCTCAATAGATGCAGAGAAGGCCTTTGACAAAATTCAACAGCCCTTTATGCTAAAAACTCTCAATAAACTAGGTATCAATGGAACGTATCTCAAAATAATAAAAGGTATTTTTGACAAAGCCGCAGCCAATATCATACTGAATGGGCAAAAACTGGAAACATTCCCTTTGAAAACTCGCACAAACAAGGATGCCCTCTCTCACCACTCCAATTCAACATAGTATTGGAAGTTCTGGCTAGGTCAATTAGGCAAGAAAAAGAAATAAAGGGTATTCATATAGGAAAGGAGGAAGTCAAATTGTCTCTATTTGCAGATGACAGGATTGTATACTTAGAAGACCCCACAAGAGACCCCAGTGTGTGATGCTCCCCTCCCTGTGTCTATGTGTTCTCATTGTTCAACACCCATCTATGAGTGAGAACATGCCGTGTTTGATTTTCTGTTCTTGTGTCAGCTAAAACAGCTGTCAGTTTTATGCTGGAAACCTGGGACACTGGTGGAGGCACTGGAGGGAATCTCCTGGTCTGCAGGTTGTGAAGACAATGGGAAAAGTGCAGTATCTGAGCTGGAGTGCTGGAGTGTCCAGAGAAGTCCCTAATGGCTTCCCTTGACTAGGAGATGGAGTTCTCTGGCTCCTTGCACTTCCTGGGGGAGGTGACACCCCACCCTGCTTTGGTTTGCCCTCCTTAGGCTACACCCACTGACTAATCAGTCCCAGTGAGATGAACCTGGTACCTTGGTTGGAAACTTGGAGATCACGCACCTTCTGCATTGCTCTCGCTGGGAACTGTGAACCAGAGCTGCTCCTATTCCACGACCTTGCCCAAATGCTATTTTATCTTAACAAAAATATCTTACCATATATACTGAGATAATATTGAAAATATAACAAGCATGATTGTATAAAATTATTGTGTAATTTAAAACGCTTACATTAATTCATTTTATTCTCTAAATATACTAAATTATACTAATTTGCTTATCAAGTGATATGAGTTATACATACCACCCATGGAAATTATTGTATTTATGACTTCCAGAGGCTTTACACAACATGAAGACAATGGCTGACTTAAATTTCTGCTGGAAGTATTGAGTGAGGGCTCATAGCTCTTGGCCTAAAGTCAAGTCCTGGGGAGAGAGAAGAATCTGGATCACAGCCCAGGTCATCAGAAGCAGACCTAAATCCCTATCCTCTGCTACCTGGCTCCTGTGGTTGCCCTGCCCTTCACTCCTGCTGCAGAGACTAGAACTAAATGAAAGCATTCATCTGTCTACCTTTGTTGACAGTATTCACAGGACCAGGAGCTACAACGGATTCGGAAATGGGTGGAGATATTCCCAAGTGCCTGTCCTTATTGGCTATGGGGAAGCAAAGCTCGTGTCCAGCTCTATGACCCTGATTATATAAAGGTGGTTCTGGGGAGATCAGGTAAGATCAAACCCTCATCCCAACTGCTATATCTCTTCCCTCTTGACACATGCCTCTTGGTCTGTAAAATTCCAGAGGAGAGTGGCTGTTCAAACATTGATACCTGAAACCTCCCTCAACCATCCACCAAGCCCACCAAGCCCACCAAGCCCAGGCTGTAGTCAAAAATACGTACTGAGTAATGAATGTTTAAAACAATATGTGGGGCTTAATTTTCAATTCTTTTCTCTATTTCTCTAGTAAAAAATTGAGGTTTTCTGAAATGTAAATTGCTCCAGATCTGTAAAACAAATTTCATACCCACATTGACTTGGGTTTGGAAGCTCTAATTGTTGCCTGTTCTGGTCAGAAGGTGACTAGGAAAACATCAATGTAGAAAAACTCATGGCTCTGTATTATTCATCACCACTGAAGACCCAGCCCATGTTTCTCACCAATTCACCTTTCTAGCTCTCTGGGCGTTTTCATGCTGGAACACTGACTGTGTCTTCCTAAGCCCATACTGACCTTCAGGACAGAAATGGAAGGGGATGGGAGTCAAGTGGGAGGTGACATGGGTCAAACTGCCACCTGACAGACACCAAGAACTGATGGCTGCCTCTGGGACTGCCTTGCTTAGTAGCTCATAGTTTCTTATAAAGTCCTTTCTTACCTTTCAGACCCAAAATCTTATGGTTCCTACAGATTCCTGGCTCCATGGATTGGTATGTACAGCAAACAAGGGCTGCATCTCACTCCCTAGTTAGGTTTATCTCTTTGGCTCACAAAGAACAACAGATTAGGGGCCACCACTATCATGATGCCATCCCCAAATCAAGCCTCATTTCCTGCTTCTAACAAGACTCTCATCCTTTCCTAATGTTGGTGCAAACCTTCCTCAGGTTCAGCTTCTTCCATTTCACTTCTCCCTTCTCTCCAGGCATCCTTGGCCTCACATTTATTTTATATCTGCCCGCAACACTTTTCAACCTTTATCTCACAGCTGTCATAATCACATGGATGTAGCAGCTCAATTAGAAAATTCATTTGCCTGAAATATACCTCCTTTTCCTGCATTTGCCCATGATGTGGCTTCTTCTGGCTATTTCTTCCCCTAAGAAGCCAACTTTCTCACTCCCAAATGGTCACCAGTCATCCCGAGGTTTGTGACACACAGACACACACTCACGTCTACCTTAGGGCACGGCTTGCTCCTGTTGAATGGCCAGACATGGTTCCAGCATCGACGGATGCTGACCCCAGCCTTCCACTATGACATCCTGAAGCCCTACGTGGAGTTCATGGCAGACTCTGTGAGAGTGATGCTGGTGAGTCCATGTCTTTCTCCTCTCCCCACACCCACTCACAGCACACACTGTCACCAACTCCACTCCAACTCTGTGTTCCACAGACAGCCATAGATATAGACACATGTAACAATACTCTTATGTCATTGCTATGAGAGTAAAGTTCCCCAGAGTTGTATAAGGTAGGAGAACACACAGGCATCAGATGGGATCCACACTTTGTTCACCATCATAGGAAAAGAGATTCATGGTGAATACAAGGCTCTTCTCCTTCCACTTTGGAACCTTCAGCACAAGGGACTGGAAAAGTATGCAGTCTTGTTGGACAGCAAAACTTCCTATGCCAGTTTGCCTGGGCAATGGCAGCTTCAGTGGCAGCATGGACAGGCCAAGATGTCACCCATGCAGGCTCTGGCCTGGGGCCCCAGGTTTCTGCATGGATTTGAGCCACCCTTGAGTGTTCTCAGTGCAATACCTGCCATGGCATCATCTCTGACTTCTCACCTAACTGTGCACAGCAAATTTTGATGAATGGAAAAGGACTGAAGTCCCTGTTTTCTCTACAAAGGGTGCCTATGTTAGCCTCTTAAGCTATCTTTGGCATTCAAACTTTCTGCCCTAAGGTTGGTGTCATTCTAGTCCCTCAGAACTAGCTCAGTTCTCAGGACAATGAAGAGCCCCCCTATTATTTATACCAGAACAACAGCAACAACATTTTCACAACCATGTGTCCTAACTGAACCTCAAAATTCAATAGTTAAGTCATACTATTGTGAGAGGATCTGTTTAATGTTGTATTAAAGGTGTATGAGAATTAGGCATCAGTTTGCCAACAGTAGGTCTACAGTCCCAGTTTCTACAATACATCTGCTCTGTGAAGTGAGGAATCCCAACCATGATATCTGCAAGCTATAGGAAAAACAAAAAAATATCTGCAGATACAGGAAAAAGCCAGGCATCATTAGCAAAGCACTTGTTGGAGATTAAGAAGATCCATGCCGGCCGGGCACGGTGGCTCAAGCCTGTAATCCCAGCACTTTGGGAGGCCGAGGCGGGTGGATCACAAGGTCAAGAGATCGAGACCATCCTGGTCAGCGTGGTGAAACCCCGTCTCTACTAAAAATACAAAAAATTAGCTGGGCATGGTGGCGCGTGCCTGTAATCCCAGCTACTCAGGAGGCTGAGGCAGGAGAATTGCCTGAACCCAGGAGGCGGAGGTTGCGGTGAGCCGAGGTCGCGCCATTGCACTCCAGCCTGGGTAACAAGAGCGAAACTCCGTCTCAAAAAAAAAAAAAAGAAGATCCATGCCCCTTCCCACCACAGGACAAATGGGAAGAGCTAATTGGCCAGGACTCCCCTCTGGAGATCTTTCAGCATGTCTCCTTGATGACCCTGGACACCATCATGAAGTGTGCCTTCAGCCACCAGGGCAGCATTCAGTTGGACAGGTCAGTGATAACCCTCCAGCTGCAGGGTCCTTGTTCTTATCAAGTGGACATACGTGAGGGGCAGGTGGGGCAGCATGAAGGCTCACCTCCACGTAAAGGTAGATTCAGTACCTGACCAAGATCTAATTCCAGTCCAGACCAAAGAATCAGGAACAGATGCTTAATTCCTAGCACAGGTGGACCCTGGTTGTTCATGCCATCTGATAAAGGCCAGAGGATAATAGGGCTGTAAGACAGAAGAAACAGCCCTCCAGGCTGCTTGTCCCAATTACTTGAGGCTGTCTGCTCTCAGACCCCAATCTACCTCCAAGTAATGGGCCCATTACTCAGTTTCTTCTTCGTACTCTCCCTCAGGGATTCTCAGTCCTATATCCAGGCCGTTACAGACCTGAACAACCTGTTTTATTTCCGTGTGAGGAATGCCTTTTACCAGAATGACACCATCTACAGCCTGACCACTGCTGGCCGCTGGTCACACCGTGCCTGCCAGCTCGCACATCAGCATACAGGTTCTGTCTCCTCCTCTTGTCTCCCAGCCTTTATCAGGCACAGAGAAAACTGCCCTGACTCCTCAGACAGAGAAGTCCCCTTAGTCGCCCTCCAGAAGCTAGAATATACTCAGCCTGGGGAATTCCCTCATCAGGGGCTGGGAATTGAGATATGAGGGACCAGATTCTGTCCCTTGGTTTGCCTGTGTCCCCACACGGAGATAACAGAATGAGACCCTGTCCAAACAACATTCAAGTGGATGCTCCGTGAGCTGTGCCACTTGAAGGAGGCCTGCCCTGCCTCACACAGTACTAGAGTTTCCACCTCTGACCTCGCACCCACACCTACATTCCCACTGAGATCTACCAGGCACCCACAGGGGGGCAGTTGGGCAGCTAGGCCTCCTGGGGGTTGCTGATGGTCTCAGCTTGGCCTGGTAACCATTGTTCTGGGACAGACCGAGTGATCCAACAGAGGAAAGCTCTCCTGCAGGAGCAGGGGGAGCTGGAGAAGGTCAGGAAGAAGAGGCACTTGGATTTCCTGGACATCCTCCTCTTGGCCAAAGTGAGTATGTGTAGGAGAGGCCTCAGTTTTGCTCAGAAGTAAAGAGCAAGAGACCAGCCCTGCACTTTCACCCGGCCTCCCCAGATGGAGAATGGGAACAGCTTGTCAGACAAGGATCTCCGTGCTGAGGTGGACACGTTCATGTTCGAGGGCCATGATACCACAGCCAGTGGGATCTCCTGGGTCCTCTATGCTCTGGCCACACACTCCAAGCATCAGCAGAGGTGCCGAGAGGAGATCCAGGGCCTCTTGGGGGATGGAGCCTCCATCACCTGGTGAGTGAGGAATCAAGAGATGGTGTTCCCTGCCTTTGCAGGGGAAGCCCCTGGTCTGCCCAGGCTTTGCTGATGTTCAGGATGAGCTTATTTCAGGCACCACCTGGACAAGATGCCCTATACCACCATGTGCATCAAGGAGGCACTGAGACTCTACCCACCAGTGCCAGGCATTGGCAGAGAGCTCAGCACTCCCATCACCTTCCCTGATGGGCGCTCCTTGCCCAAAGGTATGAATTCCGCCACCCACTCACATAAGCTCTCCACAGGGACATGTGGATGGTCAGAAATCCATGTGAGCTTCAGAGTCCTGCACATCTCTGGGTCTCCCTTTTCTTTTAAAAATTTGAAAACATATTTTGTATTTAGAATGAAGAATTTGAAATGTCTGGCTGAGAGCTTGAATCTACCAAAAGTTTAAGAAATAAATATTAATCTGTGAATGTGGCCTTCACAGTAACCCTAAAATTCTACTCCTTGAGATGTGGAGGGATGAAAAGGGAATCAGACAAGGGCAGAGAGGGATATGTTTCTTTTCTCATGGGGTCAGCACAAAGGAGGCTGATCAGGAATGTCATTTTATGGGTCAGCTGTTGTTCAGTCTCTGAGGAACCCTCAGGTTAATGAAAGAGAGCAGCTGATGACCAGATCTGGGGCCACCAAGGCTCAACTCCCCAGGTCCGGTCCCAGTCCTATCATAGCCTAGTTGTGTGAACACAGGCAAGATAATCAGCCTCTCTGAGACTCAAGTACCTCCCCTGACAACAGAATAAAAGAACGTCTCTTGGAGTGTTGTTGTGAGTATTGAGTGAGTTCATGTATATTTTCCAATGACCCTTGGAGGATATTTGATGAATGTAAATGTCACTTGACTTACTCCAAAGAGTAATGCTCCCATTTTTTCTTTCTTCTCATTCCTGGATAAATGGTTCTCTATTCATCATCTGAACTCACATGCTTAGTCAAGCCTAACCCACCTACATAATGGCAGAATCATCCCAATCAAAGTGACAACTCATGGAAAGTAGGCCTTTTGTGCCTTCTTTTGCCCCTGCTGGCTGAAGGACCAGGCCGCCCCATGCAAGTGATCTGTCTTCTCTCTGTTTCCAACCTGCACCACAGGTATCAGCATCATACTTTCCATTTATGGCCTTCACCACAACCCCAAAGTGTGGCCCAACCCAGAGGTATGTGGTCCCTGAGAGGAGGAGGAAATGGGGTGATTTATCAAGACCAACACCTTCTCCTGCTTCCACCTATAGAGGAGTCCCCATCTGGGAGTCCTGCTCCCTCATGGGTGGCAAGTAGGGGCTGGATCCTTAACTGACCTGGCTCTGGTGCTCTCTCTGCAGGTGTTTGACCCTTCCCGTTTTGCACCAGGTTCTGCTCAACACAGCCACGCTTTCCTGCCCTTCTCAGGAGGAGCAAGGTGAGACATCCTGTGTGGTGACTAGAATAGAGAAATCAGGGAATCTCTGGTCAAACCTCTGATCTTTGTGAGCCCAATGTTTATATGTGGCATCTTCAGATGTGCCCCTAATTGTTGGTCTTTGTGGGAAAGTCAAGCACCTGGTGTGGGTGTCTCCGTGTACAAAAGGAAGGTGCATTTCAGAGCACCCCCGTGGAGACTTTGCTCCCTCTGCTTCTTCAAATGAGCAGCCTTAATTCAGTGTCAGTGCATGGTCCAACTTCAGTATATTCATGAATTTTCTTCACTTTAGGGATGTGAATTATCGAAATTAGACATTCTCCAGTAAATTCAACTTCAGATGTTTGCTTTCCTCAGTGATCAGGAATAGTAAACAGTAGATTTCTCTCTCCCCGCACACCCCCAGTGCAGCACACTGTCTTCCCCATTTAATTCACTGGTCTGCCATAGAGTTGAATCATTAAAATCTTTGCATCTGTTTATAATACAGATGACCTTCAAGTCCTACCTTTCAAGCCATATAAGGGAAAGGTTAACGTAGCCCTTTGAAAAAGTTTTACAACAATATCATACATTTTTCTGTCTTGCCCAATGAAAATTTCACTGCATTAGATAGTGTTCACATATTTACAACTATTTCCCCATTTGGCAAATTCTACACACGCATTGGGATCTCTATATCATAGTCCAGTAATCCACTTAGCACAATATTGGCAAAAAGCATAAAAAATGTGGATGGTCCACTGTTTGGGAAAGAAAAGCCCAGTTATTATTATGTAATGCACATTTGAAGGCTCCTGGTATGTGAAATGTAAAACACACCTGAAACAGCTGTTGAGCTGGAGAAGAAAACTCCAGAATGGCTGCTGTGGAAATCATCGTGGCTTCAGGAATCACCCTGTGACATACAAACAGTCAAAAATGATACAAATTCTTAGTAGAAATAAGGTTTGTTCAAAGAAATAATCATGTGACTTCTTCAAATAATTATATGACTTCTTCCAATGATGAGTCCACTTACACAAAACAAGTTTTTAAAAAAAGTTTCCTCCTGAAACTCCTTCTCTAGCACTGGTCTGTCTATTTCAGCATAAGAAAGTCCTCCTAAACATTGCCTGCAGCTCATGTTGCTGCCACTAGAGAACCAGAGAGCATTCCTAAACCCCATTTCTAGCTCAGAACTAATATCTACTGTCAGTGTATTCCGTTCTATTTTATTCATTTTAAAACTTAAATTACATTATTCAAATATGAAAGTATTTATTAAACCTACCTCAGTGAGTCAAGTCCTGTGCAACGTGATGAGAAAACAGATAAAAGGTACAAAACTGTGTTGTACAGAAATACATCCTGTGCACTAGTCACACATCACTCCATCATCCATCTTTCACCCATTCACTCACTGAGTGGCTTGTTGAGTGCCCCTGTCCCTGGTGCTGTCTGAGGCACTGGACTGTGAGTGTCTGTGGATAAATCACAAATGCTGCCTGCGGACCTGGGAAGGAAAGGCACAACTGGCAGGGGGTGAGAGGCAGCTAGGCTCTGGCCTTAGCCTTGAGAATGTGGCAGGCAGAGGTGAAGGGAGGAAATTCTCAGCCATCTCCACATGAACAGGGCTAGGATGTGGGCTGGACAGGTAAAACGGGGTGAGGCACCAGCCCATGGAGGGCTTGGCTGCCAGCTAGGGTATTGGAACGCTGTCCCCACTATGACGAAGAGCATGGGAGGGTCTGAGCTGGGCTGTGGCTTCAGTGTGCACAGAGGGGAAGCAGAAATCCAGAAAGTCCAGCTGAGTAGACTGAGGAAGGGCAAGGAAAAAGGTTTCAGGAGTATAATTAGAAGGCTACAGGGGCTGGTGAATGGAGGAGTGAGGTTAGACAGGAGCCTGAACCCTGGAGTGGGAGGCAGGTGGGGCAACAGCTAGGGCCACCCACCCAGTGCCCCTCCAGGAGCTTCCCTTCCCCCACTGCCTTCCCTTCTGACTCCCTTCCTCCACCCATTGGAGCCCCCCTATGAGGATTCAGGTCCCTGTATGTCCCACTACATGGGAAGCACCTGAGAGTGTGGCCCACCCTCACCCTACAGGACCTGAAGTGGCCTCCACACTGGAACAAGAAATGTTTGTGGAGGAGTGAACAAACCATTGATTAACTCTTTGTCTATTCATGTGATAGACTCTGTGCCTTAGAGCCCAGGTTCTCTCTTGCTAGAGGGTTTCAGGCCTGCTGAGAGCACAGATGGGAGGTAGGAGTTAGGAGCTAGCCCAGGAAGATGGCTCTGTCCAAGGCTGGGGAGAGTGTGACGCCAAGATGGGGTAGAAGTGTGCATAGGCTGTAAGTGTACAAGGGCTGGACACATAAAGTTGGACACTGAATGCCCAGCTCATGGCTGGGGTCAGGGGCTAAAACCTACTCAGATCAGAATGGGGCATGAGGTTACTTCTCAATTCCTTGTCTCTGCCTGGCCCAGGAACTGCATTGGGAAACAATTTGCCATGAATGAGCTGAAGGTGGCCGTGGCCCTGACGCTGCTCCGCTTTGAGCTGCTGCCTGATCCCACCAGGATCCCTATCCCCACACCACGAATTGTGTTGAAATCCGAAAATGGAATCCACCTGCATCTCAGGAGGCTCCCTAATCCTTGTTAGGATAAGGACCAGATTTGAAGCCTCACCTGCCATTCTGTCTTCCTCACCCCTGCTTCTTTCTCCTGCCTGTCTGCCCATATCCTGCTTTCTATCTGCCCACCTTCCCTTCTTCCCACCTTCCTGCTCTCTTGCCTCCTGTCCCCCAGTCTGTCTGCCCTTCTCTCACTCACCTTTCTCCAGGCTCCCTACCTGCTTGTCTACCTGTCTCCTATCCATCTGCATCCCTGAATCTCCACCCACCTCCCAATCTCCTGCCTGCCCTCCAGCCTGTCTGAAAGTACACCTGCCTCCTTCCTGCCTGCTTGTCTGTTCCTGTGTTAGTTTCCTATTGCTGCTGTAATAAACTATCATAACCTCAGTGGTTTAAAATAAAGGCTTTTTATTCTCTTACAGTTCTGGAGGTCAAAGTCAGAAATGAGATTCACTGGGCGAAAACAAGTTCTGGACAAGACCAAACCCCTCCAGAAGGTCTCAGGGAGAGCCCTACCCCTTGGCTTTTCAGCTCCAGAGCTGCCTTTTTTGCATTCCTTGGTACTGTCCCCTCCTTCCTCTTTAAAGCGAACAACATCTCCAAATCTCTCTCTCTCTGTCTTCACATCTCTTTTCCTTTTATAAGGACCCACGTGGTTACATCAAGTTCAGTCATATAATCAAAGATAATGTCACCACCTCAAGATCCATTACTTACATCTCAAGAGTCCATTGTGACATGTACAGTCCCATAATCACAGGTTTCATGAATAAGGATATGGACAACATGGAGACCCATTGTTCATCTTAGCACAGTCCCTACCTGATTGTCACCCAATGTGTCCATCTAAATCTCTTCTATATGGTACCTACTTGCCTATGTGATTGTCAGTTGGACAACCCCTGTATCTTCCCCTCTCTCTAGAATAAGGTTCACAAGCTTGCATGCTTTGTCCAGCTTCACATGGAAGGAGATAGGGTTAGAAGAGGAGACACCAAGGGTGAAAAAAGACAGAGGAGATAAATCCCTACTGAGGAGGAGGGAAAAGGGAGATGTGTGCCCATTGGTGCCAGAACCCTATCAGGGCCTGACTTGACCCACCCCTCTGCACACAGCCTCATGACACGTCTCCCCTGGTGCCCACACCCTGTCCAGCTCATGGGGCTCCCATGGTAGCTGAGTTTAGACAAAGGATATTTCTCTAGGAGGTCAGAGGGAGAGGCTCACAACTACAGGGAAAAGACTCCAGGCCTCCATTCCATTCAAGATTTAGATCAAGATGAGTCACAGCAGGGCTGAACTAAGGGCCTGTCTTGGTGTGTTTTGTTACTATAACAGAATACCCAAGGCTGGGTAATTGATCCAGAAGAGAGGTTTATTTGACTCATGATCTGGTGGCTGAAAAGTTGAAGTTTTGGCAGTTCAATCTGATGAAAGCCTCATGCAGCTTCTACTCATGGCAGAAAGAAAAAGGGGAGTGGCACGTGCTGAGATTGCATAGTGACGGAGGAAGCAGGAGAGAGATTAAGGAAGCAAGATTCTGTTTTGATCCCAATGTCTTGGAAACCCGTCCATTCCATATATAGCAAAAACTCAACCTGTAAGGTGGAAGGGAGCACTAATGTATTCATAAAGGATCTGTCCCCATGATCCAAACATCTGCCACTAGGACCCACCTCCCAGCACTGCTGCATTAGGGATCAAGGTTTCAGGAGTTTGGTTAGGAACACACCACATCCCAGCCATAGTGAGGTGGCACTGAGCTGAGCAGGAAAGCCTCAAAGGCCTAGTCTTGTGATTTCAGCTCTTCACAGTACCAGTGAGGTGTGGAAAGAAACCCCAGCCTAGCAACATCACCAGGCACCTGTCAACCTTTTTCACATATGGAACCTTCAGGCTTCTGAGGAAGCTCATGGAGTGGGCAGCTGTCCAGTCAGGGGTGGGAGGACTCCAGGTAGGCAAATGGATCTGGCTGGTGGAAGAGGTCATCAGACCCTAAGCAACTCCTTCCCAACAGCACAACTTCTTGGTTGTCCTCTGCCTCCCTGGCTAGCCACCCTGATGAGGCAGGGGCATCCTTAACCTCTCCACCTCTTGATGACTGCCTGAGTGCTGGTCCTGCTGACACTGGGCCCTGTTCCAGCACCCGGGCCCCAGGTACTACCCCTGGGCTAGTGTCCAGCTTGATTGTCCCAGCCTCTCTTAATGTAGGCCTTGCTTCTCTTCCCAGATCTGAACCCAGGTGTTCCTCCCAAACACTGCTCATTCCTAGCCCAAGACCTTGGATGCCATGGAGAGATCTTCTTCTGCCTGAGGTCTAAAAGCCCATTCTGTTACCCTGAAGGAGCTTCTCTTCTGGTTTATGCCTGCAAACAGGACCTCCCTCCAAGTCCCCTGAGTTCCCTAGTCATTGAATTAATTCAGTCCTGCTCTGAGAAGGGGCAGGAAAGGGGATGGCTGTGGTCAGCCAGGATTGGAGGGAGATGGAGAAATTCTGAGAGGAGAGTGACCTGGGAACATCACGGGCAGGAAGGTCGGCCAATCCCTTGGCATCAGGGCATTTACAAGGGCTCATGCTGGCCATGCTCAAAAAGCACAGGAAAGTGAGCACCCACTCCCAATACTACCCTTAATACCTGGCTGAAAAGAAGAAGAGGAAGCAAATTATGTAAGTGAAAGTCTCATTGCAATAGGGGAGGTGGAGACCTCAGAGTGACCAAAAAGATAGAGAAGGTACATAAGGAGGGGAATCTGAATATTCATATGTAAAAGAATGATGTTGAACCTTTACGTACACCATATACAAAGTGAAAAAGAAATGAATAGAAGGGTTGAAAAACAGCCCACAGAATGGCAGAATATATTCACAAATCAAATAAGAACATATACAGCACTCCAATATGCAACAACAAAGTAATACAATCCCATTCAAAATCATTCAAACATTCAAAGGACTTCAACAGAAACTTCTGCAAAGAAAATATACAAGTGATACATAAGTACACCTGGAAAGATGCTCAACTTCATTAGTCACTGAATCAAAACCACAGTGAGATACCACTTCACACCCTTTAGAAAGGCTATAATTTTTTAGTGGAAAATATGAAATATTGGACAGGATATGAAGAAATTGAAACTTCTATGAATTGCTGTTGAATGTAAATTGGTATAGCCAATTTACAAAACCAATCTGTAGTTCCTCAGAAAAATAAAATCACAATTTCCATGGGACCCAGCAATTCCACTTTCGGATGTATACCCAATGGAATTGAAAGCAGGAGTTTGAACAAATCTTTGTAAACCAATGTTCACAGCAGCATTATTCACAATATTTATCAGCTTGAAGAGCCCAAGTATCCTTCAACAGATGAATGGGTTCACAATGTATGATATACGGACAGTGGAATATTATTCAGTCATAAAAAAGAATGAAGTTCTGATATATGCTACAGTAGGAATGACAGTGATAACAGCATAAGTAAAATTTGACAGACATAAAAGGAAAAATATCATATTTCCACTCCTAAGTAGTAGATTAGGCACATTCATAGATTAGACAAAATAGATTAGAGAAGAACAATAGATTAGGCTGGGAGAAGGCAGAGTTATCATTTAATGATCACAGAGCTTCTTTAGACTGATTAAAACCTTTCAGAAATAGGTAATGATGATGGCTGTAAAACACTGTAGGATCTGCTGCCAAGAAGGCCAAATAGCAACCACTCTGATCTGCAGCTCCCGGTGAGACCAATACAGAAGGCAAAAGCATTTCCAACTGAGGTACCCTGTTTATCTCTTTGGGACTAGTAAAGCAGTGAGTGCAGCCAACTGAGGGCACGCAGAAGCAGGGTGGGCAATTGCCTCACCCAGAAAGTGCAAGGAGTGGGGTGGGGGGGGTCTCCCTTTCCCAGCCAAGGGAAGCCATGAGGGACTGTGCTATTCAGCCCAGATACTATGTTTTTCCTATGGTTTTTGCAGTCTGTAGACCAGGAGATTCCCTCATGTGACTATACCAGCAGGGCCCTGGGTTTCAAGCACAAAACTATGTGGCTGTTTGGACAGACACTGAGCTAGCTGCACTGGATTTTTTGGGCAGACACTTAGCTAGCTTCACAGGATTTTTTTCATGCCCTAGTGGGGAACCCCAGGAAGACAGAACTGTTCACTCCCCTGGAAAGGGGACTGAAGCCAGGGAGCCAAGTGGTCTTGCTCAGGGAGTTCCATTTCAACACAGCCCAGGAAGCTACTAACAACTGGCTTAAAATTCCCACTGATAGCACAGCAGTCTAAAGTCAACCTGGGATGATCAAGCTAGGTTGAGGGAAGGAAGTCTGCCATTACTAAGGCTTGGGTAGGCGGTTTTCCCCTGATAGCACTAAAAAGGCCTGAAAGGTCTAACTGGACAAAACTCAACACAGTGCAGGAAAGTGGCTGTAACCAGTCTGCCTCTCTAGATTCCTCTTCACTGGGCCGAGCATCTCTGAAAGAAAGGCAGCAGCCACAGTCAGGGGCTTATAGATAAAACTCCCATCTCACTGAGATAAAGCATTTAGGGAAAGGGGTGGCTGTGGGCATAGCTTCAGTGGACTTAACTTTCCTGCCTACTGGCTCTGAAGACAGCAGTGGATCCTGACAAGGAGGGTTCTACCAACACAGCACTTGAGCTCTGTTAAGGGACAGACTGCCTCCTCAAGTGGGTCCCTGACCCCTGTGCCTCCTGGCTGGGAGAGACCTTCCAACAGGGGTTGACAGACACCTCATACAGGAGAGCTCTGGCTGGCATCAGGCTGGCGCCCCTCTAGGATGAAGCTTCCAGAGGAAGGATCAGAAAGCAATCTCTGCTGTTCTGCAGCCTCCACTGGTGATATCCAGGCAAACAGGGTCTGGAATGGATCTCCAACAAACTGCAGCAGACCTACAGAAGAGGAGCCTGATTGTTAGAAGAAAAACTAACAAACAGAAAGCAATAACATTAACATCAACAAAAACAACTCCCACACAGAAACACCATCCAAAGTTCATCAGACTCAAAGATCAAAGGTACACAAATCCATGAAGATGAGGAAAATACAGTGCAAAAATGCTGAAAATTCCAAAAAACCAGAATGCCTCTTCTCCAAATGATCACAACTCCTCTCCAGCAAGGGCACAAAACTGTACAGAGATCCACTATTAGTCTGATAGTCTATTTGTTAG